TCAATTCGCTTCCCACAGTTTGCACGCAGCCGATTTCTTTTCCTGAAACTGTGTTGCCACGGAACTTGTTTTGATTACAGTAAAAACTTATTTTTCTCCTATCGTCCAGGCGCAATTGTAAGGCAAGATTCTACTGTTTTAAAATAGTTTGTCCATACGGCATTCTTTAAAAAGTAAAACATGTCCACTAATCTATCGACAATTCATTTTGCTTTTGAACGAGCTGTTGTAAAACCAGTAGACATAATGTTTATACATAAAGCCGTTTAGCCTAGAATTTGATTATTTACTGCCACGGTAGGAGCATACGGTCCTATTTAAGGATCGAAGAAGCGTTAACAGCTTTATGTGACGTTTCTTCCTAAAATGGATTGCAGTTTTTGCAGCAAATGTTGTATGGATATTTTTGGGCGAAATTCAATTACATGATTTGCATATCCGATTTTACAAAATGAATAAATATGGCAATCCATGCTCTTTTAGACTTATATACGAGCATTTATTGAAGCATTATTACGCATGGTTGGTGAAATTAAAAATATAGTTTATTTTATCATATGTACAATCATTACCAAATTGAATAATTGTTGAGGTTCTATCCACTTATAATTTTTACCGAAATCTGCTATTCGCAGTTTAGTTTATGGGTATGGAACACACACACAGAACAGCGATTTTGATATTACCATCAAAGTAAACTATTTACCTCATATTCTACTATTATATTACTGTATATAAAGATTTATGAAGTTTCTACAAAGTTTTGCAATTCGTTTGACTCCTACAAAATTCTCTGAATTTCTATGAAGTTCACTGCACTTCTACATGCACTTCTATTGATTATTTTTAGAATTTCGATAATTTTCTGCGAAGTTCCCTGAAGTTCTACAATGATTCCTGAATTTCTACGGAATTTGCTAATCTACTTAAAACTCCTTTAAACATTAACGAATTGCCCGCGTCATGGGAAGAAGAACGTTTATGAAATTTCTTAAAATCAAAAAAAGTTCGATTAATTTCATCGAAGTTTCGCAAACTTGCATAAAGATCCCAATTCTACGAAGCTTTTCCGAATTTTTTCAAAGCTCCCTGAATTTATTAGAAATTCTCTAAAGCTCTACAAAGTTCCTCGACTTTATATTGAATTTTCTTAATTTCTGCGTTGTTTCCCGAACATCTACTATGTTTTCTGAATAACTAGCTGACGTTTTACAAAATTCTCTGAAGTTCTATAAAGTTCACTGAGCTTCTACAAGGTGTGCTAAGCGCTTACAAACTTAGATGAACTTCTATAAAATTTACTGCAGTGTTAGAAAGTTTCCAGAACTTCTACACTGTTCAATGAATGTCTACGAAGTTTTCGAAAATTTCACGATGTTTTTTGAATGTCTATGAAGTTATTTAAAATTCTCTTTATGTTTAAAAAGTACGCCGAGCTTGTTCGAAGTTCTCTAAAATTAAATGATGTTATTTTAACATTTAGCAATTGACGCTTCTGGGAAGGCTCTGTTTAATAAATTTGAAATATTTAACACCATCCCCCGACCACAAATTTCAAAAGTAGCGATGAAGACATCTCGTTGATCTAAATGGGGGGTAAATGGGGAAATTTACAATAGAACAAGGGGGTTGTTATGTATCTTAAGCGTACATAAAATCACATTTTCGCAAACAAACTACCATTTACTGAATGGGGTTGGGAGCAATCGTCCATGCTACAAGTTTCAGTGACTCCACATTTTAAAGATCAATAACGGCGCCGGCCACGGTCTTGCAATCAGGTGGGAGTAGGGAAAGAATATTACAATGACGTTTGTTGTTTTGGGGATCGTGTTTACCTTTGCGTCCTCATAAAGCTCACAGGAGAGGATATTTTATTAGTAGGTTGGGTTCGTTTGTTCATCATACACCTTTTTAAGTGATGCGATCGTAGTTCTGATTTTTTTAATATATTTCTTAAACTTCAAGACTCGTAAAGATTTTCAGTACATCGTTCAAGACTTCATTGACCCTCCAGAACTTCAAGATCCATACTCCAGAATGGTTTGGAAAGCATTAAATATCTCAAACCATTCCATGATGTGTATGTTGTTAAGAGGCTCTCTTTTAGCTTCACGGGCTTGAAAAGATTTTCAGCACATTATTCAAGACTTTATTGAGCATTGATCCTGTATAACATCAAGATCTCAACCCCAGAATGGCTTGGAAACCATTAAACATCTTATTGATACCATTCCATGATGTGCATGTGGTTAAGTGGCTGTATTGAGCTTCAAGAGATTATCTTCCCAACAAACAATTTGGCGGGGGGGACACCCCTTACCATCCCTCTCCAAAGGGGGAGTTTGGTAAAGAGAGATAGATGATAAAACTGATTTGTACCTTCCTAAAAGTTGTCTAGCTCGCTTTCTACTTCTATATGCAATTTTCACACTGCCGTACTCTAAACGGAACTATCAATTCTATACTTTCATCTCCTCATCTATCGTATAAAAATAACCACTTTAGTCTGTTATTTGAAATTAGCATTTTCAACTATGTAAATCGTTGACTTCACGCAGAAGTAATACTAAACATGTAGTCAAAAAAAAAAACAATTTAAGCTGATTAAAGGCTGAATAAACCATTTTTAAACTGAATTAGTGTATTTTTGACTAAATCTCTGATTCTGTTTCCAATGTTTGTTGCTTGAGCTTCATAGACTTCAAGATTTTCATTACATTGTTCAAGTGCCGAAGCCGGTTGTGTAGTGGTAAGCGTGACTGGGTTCAATCCCAACCCCAATGGGTCTGGGTTAAATCCCAGCCGAGGACGGTGGCATTTTTCTGAGGCATAAAAATCTCTGGTCACGTCTTCCTTCGGATGGGAAGTAAAGTCGTTATTCCCGGCCTATGTGTGTTGAATGGGTGCCCTATTCTACGCAGGTGTGGAAGCTGCCTTCCTACACATTCGATTGCCGTCAATGGATGGCAATCGATGTCCGTCGGTGATTGGCACTAGATTGCGGAACAGAGACCAACGTTAAATAAAGGAATGAAGAATAGATTGTTAAAGAGTTTTATTGAGTTTGTAGAACTTCAAGATCTTAGCTCCAGAATAGTTTGGAGGGAATTAAAAATCTTATCAACATCTCTAATCAATCCATGATGTACATGTTGTTAAGGGGAAGTCTTGAGCTTCACGAACTCTTAAAGATTTCCAGGACACTGTTCAAGACTTCATTTAGTCGGCGGAACTTGAGATCTTTGGAGAGCAATAAATATCTTAATGATACCATTCGACGATGTGCATGTTGTCAGAAGGCTCTCTTGAGCTTCATGAACTCATACAGGTTTTCAGGACATTGGTTTGTCGAACTTCAAGATATTAGCTCCAGAATAGTTTGGAGAGCATAAAATATCTTACTATTACCATTCTATGTTGCGAATTTTATCATGAAGCTTTACAAAGCTCTGATGGTGCGTTGAATATGTAGAAAATATGCGTATCAATCCACTTAAGTCTATAGAACATAAAAATCTTAACTCCAGGGCATTTTGATAAACCCAAAAGACTTCAGGATCTCAAAATTATGTTTAATGATTAATATAGCCACATACTAATACGAATCTTGTTAAATAATGCAGAATAAGCCAGCAAATATTTGTGGCCACTTCCTTGTATGGAGTTTTCCCATAGTGCGCCGACCGGTGCAAGTCGCCAAAAATGGAAACCGCTCGATGGAATTAAATGCGCTCGTAAAAATATTGAAAAATGTGCTTAATTTTTATTACTTGTTCCTATAGGCAGTACAGGTACAGGTCACGCCAATGACGACGGGTGACGGTGATGGACAGGTTCCATTGTTTAATTCATTTGGCTTTCGTAATGAAATTTCAAATACGGTAGCAGTAAAATTGTCTCTTGCGCGCACTCGTCAGCAAAGATTTACGGCTTCTGATTATGGCGGTCGGTGTTTGTATGCCGTTGTCGTGAATTGATTTCACTCGGACTTTGAGCGTCAAAGTATCTGGTTAATGAAAAAAACAAAAAGAAAACCTGAAGGAAACAAAATATATAGTTTCTGTGGCGTATATCGATGGATCTATATAGCACTGACGTCAATTTGATGTTCTTCCCTTTTCACCCAAGGTAGTGCCCAGCACAGTATGTGGCACTCTCCTTAGTCCTTTCGACGACCTGCTCACGTCTGTGCGGTCTACTATATCCCAACTAACGTCAATGACAGCTTTCCGTACGTTTCATTAATACTTGTCCCCAAACAGCGGCCCCACCCGTTTCCCACACCCGCCACGGCATATGGTTCTATTGGCGTCTGCTCCGAGCTCATGCGGAAGAGCTTGGCACACCGTTTGACAGCTTACCAAAGGGTTTATTTAGTTTTCTTAATTATTTTGGCAACACATCAACTTTCATTGTTAATAAACGGGACCGACCGACGTAAAGATGGTCACCGATTTACGTCTTTTTCCTAGAAAATCTCTCCCAGCCTACCCCAGGAGCATGCGTCAATATTCCGAGACGGAGGCAGTCAGTCGACACACTCGTGTAGTTTTACCCCCCAGCTGGTGGGTAATGATGGACGGAGCGCAGAAGCAAGGTGATCAGCGTTTATTGTTTTGTTTTCGAAAACTGCGAGAAAAACTGACGACAGCAAGTGAAAAGATTAACTGTTTGGCTTTGGCCCGGGAAATGATCATTTAGCAAAATAATGAATAGAAAACACGCTGCTGCGATGACGGAGGAGCAATTGAATATATTTTGCAACAACGGTTTCGGTTCTGACGACGATTAGAGTGTCAAGCTGATGACGGACATGTGTCGCAGAACCTCACGTGAAATATTTCGCATACTTCCGTTGTTGATTGGGAGGCAGAATTGGTTTAAGATCGTTTGTTGTCGGAGAAAACTGTCCTAATTCGGGAGATGACATCTGGTCGCAATATTTCGTCGTGCAATTGACTAACTGAGTATTTCCTTCCTTGTGTTTCTACTTGCAGTTTGTTGATCTGGGAGTGGTGACGTCGGTCGAAGCTAATCACAAACAGATTGAGGCTGCCCGCAAGGGACAGGAGGTGTGCATAAAGATCGAACCACTTCCAGGAGAGACGCCCAAGATGTTCGGAAGACACTTCGATGAAAACGATATGCTAGTTAGTAAGGTAAGTTGTAATGGCTTAGAACTATTATTGCACATATTTTAGCACTTAATATAATTCATGACAAGGAGAAGGGAGATCTATTGACAATTATCAACGAAATAGCACCAAAAATTAGATTGCTATTTGTTATGAGATATACTTGAAGTTCCATAGGTATTCTCTGAGCTCTTGGATCTTTGTGAACACTATGAACTTCCGGAACTTCAAGATATCCCAAAATATTGAGAACTTTTGAAACTCATGAAAGTTCAGAAATTCTGGAGAATGTTAAACTCTTAAAACCATTTATTTATTCGTTTGTCGTCAATCAGTGTAGACCGATTACAATAGTTAAGCCTTAAGTGTTATTTTTTTTACAAATTTGTCTTTGATATATAAATTATAATAACTTGAAAAAAATTGAAAAAAATTAAAGAATTGTGTTCTAGACACGATTGCAGTATGACGTAGAACCACGCAAAATTGATTCATGTCATGCATTTTTGACTATTATACTTTATCTTAAATTTTTCATTTTTTTCGGAACAAATCACAAGTTTTTCTTTTGTCACTCGATGCTCACACCAGTTGAGGGGGGAGGATAAAAAATAAACCAAACAAAAATAAAACATTTAAAATTCGTTTTACATTATATCTAAACCGTATATTTAAAACGCTAGCATTTTTTCTTAGCCTTATACTTCTTTGAAGCCGTGATTTTTGACACTAATGCCACAAATGTTGACTTTATTATGTGTAACACTCGAGTTATCAACAAGACATTTCGCGCATAAGTTTTTGTATCCTTTCAAAGAAGAACATTAGTAATAATGTAGATCAATAGGATCAAAGCAATTGATTTTTGGGTATTAATAAATCCCGGATAAACCATTAAGCGGAATACCACAAACGTAACAGTTCTTATAAACAAAAGGTTCTGTTTTCGATACTTCCTCCCTATCCAAATATAACTTAGTTTTCTCAACAATTGTTCGTGCTTCAAAAATTCTAACTAGACGTATGGGTTCAGGAAGGTCTATTCAACAAAATCCAAGCGTAATATTTAAAGGAAGGAGCCAAAATCCATCTTAGATGAACATAAAAACCAAATTTTAACAAAAAATACGTAGTTTTGTCAATTTAAACCTGGCTTTGTGTGTGCTTAAAAAAATAATCATCACATATGAATTCAGCAAGGTCAATTCTATAAAATCTAAGCATAACTTTCAAAGGACAGTATCAAAATCCAACTTAGCAGAAAAGGAAAACAAAAAAAAACCTTTTCGAATTACAAACCCGGTTCAACCTTCACGTATGGATTCAGCAAGCTCCATTCTAAAAAACACAAGCCTATTTTTCAAAGATATGAGCCAAAATGCAATTTGGCAAAACAGAAAAAACCTAATTTCTATGAAAATACGTATGGATTCAGCAATTTGGTAAAATCCACTCCTATTTTTCAAAGGAAGGAGCCGAAATTCAACTTGGCTAAACAAGAAACCCAAATTTCTTTAAAAATACGTACTTTTGAGAATTCAAACCAAGTTTTCTAAAAAATTGTGCATGCTTCAGAAAAATTTACCATCACGTATTGATTCAGCAAACTGCAATTAAAGTCTATTTTCAAAGATCGGAGCCGAAATTCAACTTGGCAGAACAGAAAATCAAAGTTTTTGTGAAAATACGTACTTTCGTGAATTCAAACTCGGTATTCTCAAAAATTGAAGAAATTCAACCCTCACGTATGGATTCAGCAACATTTATTAAAATACAAGCCTATTTTTCAAAGATAGAAGCCAAAATTCAGTTCGGCAAAACAGAAAAATAATTTTCTATGAAAATACCTTCTTTTGTGAATATTAACCAGGTTCGTCCTTCCGGTATTCAGCAAGTTCCATTTTATAAAATCCAAGCACAAATTTCAAAAGATTGAACCGAAATCCAACCTGGCTTAAAAAAAAAAAATCTACCATCACGTATGAACTCACAAAGGTCAAGAAACCCAAATTTCTATAAAAATACGTACTTTTTGTGGATGTAAACCCAGTTTTCTCAACAATTGTGCTTGCTTTAAAAAAAATCTACCATCAGGTATGAACACACGAAAGTCTATTCTTTAAAATATCAGCCTCATTTTTAAAGGATGTGAATCTCACAAGAACGAGGAAGGGATCTAAGGGAGAATCTACGTTAAAAGTAAGGTAAATCACTTCAGGAAAGCTTAGACTAACATTCAATATAATTCAATCACTCAACAGAAAAGTTTGGACTCCCTAAGTAAGGTTTTGAAAGGAGATTGGACACCATTTGGAAAATTTAACTAAAAAAATTGTCGGTTCACTTCGGAAAACTTTCTACACTTTCACTAAGCAAGATTGTGTCCTTGCCAAATGCCAAAGCAGTTAACAAAAATGTGGAGCTTACTTAGAAAAATGTCAAATCTGACAATTTTGGTTTCAGTTCGGAAAAAGTTGAATCAATGCAGGAAACCTTGGATTCATTTAGGAAAAGGATTAATCAGCTAATGTTGCCTCACTTCAGAAAAAAGCGAAACTAATTATTCATAGCTTGGATACGGTATATGTTGAATAACTTCAGAAAAGTTTTGACAACTTAAAAAAGGATTGAATAACATAACAGAAAAGTTTAGACTCAGTTTGAAAAATATTGATGACTTATTCGAAAGTTTGAACTCACTTCAAAAAAGTTCAGACTCAGTTTTGAATCTGCTTTGAAAAGTGTCACCTCAGTTAGGAATTTCCTGAATCGTTTCTTGTTTCACTTCTAAAAATGTTAAACCAAATCTTTTCATAGATTGGATTTAGCTCGGAAATTGTTGAAACACTGTAGAAAAGAAGTGAATCATTAAGTATCATTGCAGAAGGTTTGTAAGTTAAGAAATTTAGATCGAGTGCAAAAATCTGGTGACTACGGTGGGCTGGGCACATCGTTATAATGTCGGATAACGACCCACTGAAAATGGTTCTTGGTAGTGATCCGACTGGAACAAGACGAAGCTGTGCGCAACGAACAAGAGGGATCGATCAGATTTAAGGTGGCTTACCTAGTGAGCTGCCAAACAAGATTTGGAATGATGTTTGATGAAATCCGTTTTCAACAACTGAAACCGGCTGATCCGATTTCAAGGACCTGTCATGCCGTACTGGTCAAGTACCAATTTATGTGAAAATTATTTAAAAGAACTATCACCTTGTTCTTATTGTTACGACTTATTGTTCTTACGACTATTTTGAAATATTTAGATTTTAAACAATTTTTTTTTTTTAATTTTTAAAAGCAGAAAAAACATTATTTTTCTCTACGCTTTATGAAGGGTTCCGTTTGAGAGATTTGAATATAGGGGAAATGAATGTAATGTCGGCTTAAATGCCGCTGAATTGTATCCATGTATTCTAAAATTTCAAGTAAACTTACAATAGCTAGGAATCATACTGTGGAGTGACTCTTAACTTTTGATCAATGACTTGAATAACTATTGATTTAAAGCATATTCTAAATGTTTATCTAATCTTTCACAAACGTATCCCGATGGGTATATAATAACCCAAGTAGCATTGCAAGTTTTGTCAGGTTTTAAAGCACTCTACTAGTCTAAATCATGGTCTACCGAACCCGCATAAAACTACAATTGTTACTTGGGAAGGGTTGTTCTATCGACCCCGAAAATCAGTCGTGAATATTCTGTGTGACTTTTGGAAAATGTTATAGCTTTAAGGAAAGTTTTAGTACATTAAAATTATAAAATATGTTAAACCAGTTACCTATGAACTAAATTTCAGTCAATACCTTTGAAATGACCTATGGCTAAGAGATATGAGCAAAAAACATTTACACGTGTTTTAAAGGGTGACCCCAAACTTATGATCGGGATTGTACATGAAAATCGTAATGATTTCCTCCAATGTTGTGAAAATTTGCTGTACTTTGAAATTCAAACTGAAATTTATTTGAAAATTTTACAAATAAAAATCGTATATCAGCTCTTTTGTATTCTTAAAAATAATATTTCAAATTCAGAACAAATGATGTTAGAATCCAACCAGTTTGTCTAATCTGATGCGACTCATCTATAGCTTGCGACCTATAGATTGGTAAACGCTGCTGTATAGCGCATAGAGACAACCAAATCAGACTAAATATCTACCCTTTTCGAAACAAAAATCTCCATCAACTATACAACTCAAGTGTATTCAATACACCCAACAAGCGTTCGTGGGGAAGACTTGAATCGAAACGATGTCTTTAGCCCCGTTTGGTGACACAACCAACCATCATCAGTCAACCGACCGACCCACCGACTATGGCACACCAACTGGATTAATGGAGTCTTGCCCAATTTCGTTCAAACGCCTGACTCGATAGTAATCGCGAGCCCGTTTCGTTGAGAAACCTGGGCGAAACTTGAATGAAGTTATATCGCCGCGCTACTTGCCATGAATGAATGAACGTAAAAATACTACTCCCACTACCAGCCAGCAGCGAGAGTCCAGCGTCAAGTCAATGGTGTACGCGTTGGCGATTCTTTACGGCTCGGTTCGGTCACGTAACTTGACTTGATCTTTAGGGTGTACCTTGTTGATATTTTTTTTTTTAATTTTTGTGTTGTAAATAACGTTCAGATCAAACGTTGAATTTTTAGCAGTTGAGATAAGCTTGTTGGTCCCGTTAGGTCCATCCTAATTCTCCCCCATGTACCGTAAACAACAAGTGTCCGATCGCCATCTTCATTAGCATTGTTGTGCTGACCATTGTTGTGTTGTGACAATCGTTTTCGCAGTGCTTGAGCATGTTGTCATTTTCTTTTGAACTCGGTCATCCTCATCCAATAGGGGACAGCGGAAAATTACGCGCCGAGCTGCGCTATTCCGTGGAACGAAAATTAACTGGAAATCGATCACCGTTTCCTGTTTACCAAACTTTTTTGCTTGCTGCGGGAGCATGATCGATGAACTTAAGCGGAGACGGCCATTAATTCTACGCACCCCTAGGCCCAATCGTGA